ACTATGTACGTATAAACCTATGTAACTGTGAATTAACATGCAGAGTGACATCTTGCTGAAGTTAGTGTCAGTTACTCCAAGGTTTAGATGATTTAGCTGAGGGGATATCTGTGCTCATTCAGTGATGCAGGTAATGCACTACACCATCTTGTTCCTTCCAATCAAAGCTGACTATATTAATAAGATGTTTATACTGTGCTATAAAAAAATGCATGGATCATTGCCACTAGGGGCTTCAATTCACAATACGGCATCCCACTCGGGCACTATCTGGGTACATAACATTTAGGGGAGCATGAAGGTGTCTTGTGCCTGCAAAAGCAGACTTTCTCCTGAGATCCTACTCTGCATTGAGATACTGATGATATTTCCTAGCAGAGCGTGTCCTCTTTCAGCCAACCATTCACTCGCTCTCACCTTCCCAGGAGAAAATGTGTGGGATTCGGTCCCTATGCCCTCCCAGCTGCTGAGGCTGATGTTCAAGGGGCTGCTAATACTCAGTTGTCATGCTGTGTTTTTTTCCCCCTGTAATAACCCACTACTTATGTTGGCTATTTGACCTGAAACAGAGCTGATGTATGCAGAAAGTTTATTTCTGTACTACTTATGTTACATGGGTCCAGTGTAACTAAGCCAAACGTTCGTTATGTGAAACAGATGGATGAGAAAATCTATTGGGAATTGTAATATTAGCGACAAACACTGGGTTTCTCATTTCCCTGTTTGTTTATTCCTGAGACAGCTGGGTTGCATGAATTTCCTTCCTATAGTTTCAGCTTCTTCAGTATGCTTTAGCCCATACTGCAGCAACAGCTTTTGTAAACAGCAAGTGACCCATACAATAGCAGGTAGACCTCCAACTGCTGATGCTGGTGTTCTCCTTTTGGAAGCATTGCAAGTGGCATCACAGTTTCTGAAAAATATATATGCCTGTATTAAATACCACAAAGCCCTAATTAAAAAAAAAAAAAAAGGTAAAGGTAAGCAAAACTTCTGAGCATTATAGTACTGATGTTGAAATATGTCAAATGATCGGAAGGGATGGTTATTATTGCTGTTTTTATACTGCTCTGATTTAGGTATAAAAAATATTTGAAAAGGAAATGTTTTGTTCATCTTGGGGCATATTTTTCATCTGTGTCTTGGTTTTTTTTTAGACATTAGAAGCACCAGTAGGTATGGAGAATGCTATTCCCAGCAATATGATAGAAATAGGGAAATTTTGCCTAAATATCAGTAACGTTGTTGTTTTTGCAAAAGTGCAAATTCATCAGAAGTACAGCTGAAATGTTTCAGTTTGTTGGAAACTACTTTGAGCTATGTGAGGTCTTTCTTTGGTGTTGCTATTTTTGTTTTTGTGTAGAGCCTAGTCTTGCAGTTTCTTCTCGAACAAAATTCTGATTAACAGGTCCTGGAGTTTTGTGTGTGTAGGAAACAAGGACCAGGCCTTAGGTGATGTCTTAGGAACTCCTGAAAGTAACTTTCATAGGAGACTCCCTCTTTTTGGGAGTCTCAGACTTTTATGATTGTTTTTATTTTTCCAGGTTGAAGTTTGTTCTTGTGCTTTATGAGACTTGTCACCCCAGATTTCTGCACAAGAGACATAGCCAAGATTTCCCTCTCAGCAGTTCAAATGCATTGAAATAGAAGAATACTAAAAAAAAAAAAAAGATATGTTTTGTGCGTCTCTTAGCCATGCGTTCAAGAAGAAGCACCGCAGAGAATTCATAAGACTTGAGTTAACTCAGAGGGGATAACTCAGTTAGGATTGCCTCTGGCAGAGCAGGAAGCTCAGAACAAAATAATTGGAATAACCCATTCTGATGCTGTCCTGGTTTTCTTGAGCACAGCAGTATACGTGTTTCATAAATCTAAATCTGGGAAATGCTAGGTGCTTAAAACCAAACTGATATGCTCTGTCTTTGGAATACTTACACAGTGTTTACACTAGTGAAGGGTGGCTCCAGTGTTCATAGAATCATAGAATGCTTTGGGTTGGAAGGGACCTTTAGAGGTCATCTAGCCCACCCCCCCTGCAGTGAGCAGGGACAGCTTTAACCAGATCAGGTTGCTCAGAGCCCCATCCAACCTGACCTTGAATGTTTCCAGGGATGGGGCCTCCACTACCTCTCTGGGCAACCTGTGCCAGTGCCTCACCACCCTCATTGTAAAAAACTTTCTAATGTCTAGTCTAAATCTATTCTTCTTTAGTTTAAATCTGTTATTCCTTGTCCTGTCACAACAGGCCTTATTAAAAAGATTCTCCCCATCTTTCCTATAGGCCCCCTTTAAGTACTGGAAGGTCGTAATAAGGTCCCCCCGCAGCCTTCTCTTCTCCAGGCTGAACAACCCCAACTCTCTCAGCCTGGCCTCATAGGAGAGGTGCTCCAGCCCTCGGATCATTTTGGTGGCCCTCTTCTGGACCCGCTCCAGCAGGTCCATGTCCTGTTCAGAAGAAGGCACAGTAAAACTGACTTCTTGCTGCCATAGGAGTCAGTTACGGAATTTTAATGTGTCCAGAAAGGCTAAAAGGTATTTACTAACATGGCTCAGATGTTACTAGCTGGGACAGGAAGGTACTCAGTCTGACAGCTTTTGCTGCTCTTTCGTAGCCCTTTGGCAGCAGAGTATGAAGGTGTGCCCCAGTTCAAATTAATTTCATGTTAAGAGATTCCATAATAGTACCCAAATGTCCATGTGGGGACCAAATGCTTCTGATGAAACAAACTCACTGAGTTCATCTCCATCTACAGGGATATGTTTTCCTGATTCCAGTTTAATGTATTTTCATATGGTTGAGCACAAGAGCCGTAGAAATGTGCTTTTGTTGTATGCTGAATGGAAAAAAAACCCAAACCAAACCCCTCCATTTTCTGGAGTATTTGTGAACATGTGCTGTAATGTCCATTCTTAAATTGGAAATGCTAAGTTTTCAACCTTGGTGCCTCTGGCTCATTAAGTGAGTGGAGATTACTCTGGCTGTGACAAAATTTCTGATTGAAAACTTTTAAAAATTTGATGTTTTGGCATTTTACAAACCATAGTCTCTCCTCAAAAGCACTGCAAAATAAAATTGTTGTTTTGCAGCTGCTTCTTCATATGACCATGTACCAAAGAATTAATTGCTTTCCTCCCACACTTTGCTTTCTTCCTAACTTCCATTACTCTGGTGTTTCTGACAAGGATTCTGTTAGAGTCCTGCATCCATACAAAGACTAGGTGAAAAAACAGTTTCTTCTTCACTTTCTCTAACCTGTTGGGTTTTTTTCTGTAAACTAATTTTCTCTTATTCTTATCCTTAGGTTTGATTTTTGGCCCTACTGCTTTCTAAGTATCTCTGGCTTTGAATTAGAAGTCCTCAAAGTTATTAGCTAGTATTTTTCAAGGTTATATCTCATTTTGTTATTTGTGGACCAAGTTTTGAGTCTTTCAGGATCCCTTTGTGCCCTTTTACTGTCTCTTCTGGTGCTTGCAAACACCTGCAGATTTGAATAATGTGCTCTCTGTCCCTTCTTTCACATTGTTAATAAAGAGGCTAAATCAAATCAAGCCTGACACTTCTTTGAGTAAGTGGTCTTCTGATACTTCTCGTCAACAAGACACAGTGTTGTTGTTACCTGGTTCTAAATATTAAATCTTGATGCAGTATTTCTTTTGAAGCCAGTGTAAATATTTTTTTTTAGTGATGGGTTGCTGTGGCACTGCATCAAATATCTATTAGAAGTTAGTACTTCTGTGAGTTGACATTCATGCTGATGCAGTGCCCACTTAAATACATAATGTAATATAAGCTTTGAAAAATCAGCTGTGGCACACAATATGGCCTTTATTGTTTATCTATTTTGTGGAGTCCAGAGTGTGTTGTGAAAAAATGAGTAACCACATAATGCTAATGAGCATTTCTTTGTGAATTTTTAAAGCTGTTATGCTGCCATCCATATAGTCAGCCAGGGAAATCCTATGTAAATAAAAGAGCTCTACAAATTACCTGTCTTGTTCCACTCTGAATTCAGCTAGACTTTCTGAATATCTAGTAGTGGAGATATAGATATATAAAATGTAACTATTAAATATTTAATGATGTAATTAGGACATTAGTACTGGCCACACTATCACTCTCTGGAATTTATGGCCAGAGGTGTTGGGTTGGAAGAATGAGTCATTATTTGTAAATGCTACATTTTCTGTAGGGCTGGGGATTTTCAGGTTAGCCAAAATGAGTTTTTTTCCAGGAAGGTCTCTTAGCTATGATTTTAGTGTATAATAAAGCTCATCGCAGCTGCTTCTGTCTGATTTTGAAATGAAAAAAAAAACCCCAAACCACTAAATACAATTAACAGTTCAGTCTTCTCATGAACATTTAGGAGAAAAAAATGTAAGATATGTTTCTCTTTTTCAGTAACAAATAGCCAATTTTTCATCTTAGTTGAGCAATGCTATTCCATCTCATTTTTTTGGACTGATCTTAGTGACTCTACCGCAGGGTGTTAGCTTTGTTGCCCAAAAGTGCCCATGTAAAGCTTTGAAGATACAAGGCAGTATCAGTTCTGCATAGAACTGACTTAATTCAGCTGTGTATCACACTTAAGTTGCACATGTAGAATAACAGGATCACAGAATGGTTGAGGCTGGAATGGACCTCTTGTTCAACCTTCCTGCTCAAGCAGGGCCACCTAGAGCCAGTTGCTCAGGACCATGTCCAGGAGACTTTTGAGTATCTCCAAGGATGGAGATTCCACAACCTCTCTGGGCAACTTCACAGTGAAAAAGTATTTCCTTACATTCAGACAGAAGCTCCCATATTTCATTTTGTGCCCATTGCCTCTTGTTCGACGTGCACACGCAGACATGATCTGTCATAAGCTGTTACATGTATTGATTAAATTTGTGCTTTCTTCCAGTGAACACTTAACCATTTGGTGCAGCTTTCCACACATAGAAGCCATGATTATGGTTGTATTTAGTTTTTATGATGTTTTTGTTTGTTTTGCATCTTGTAGGGCAAGTCTTACCCCTTTAAAGGTCCATTCCCTCCTATGTGGAATCCATTGGCCTACCTGGACTACAACAACCTGTGGAGGACCATGGATGAAATGGGAAAGGAGGTATGGCATGAGGAGTTGCAGCTGACCATCTCAGCTCAGCTTTGTCTCCATGAGGGGCAGAGTGAAGACAGGACTAGGATGCAGATAGGCCAAGCTGCTCTACCTTGAACAAACCTGGTGCTGGCAAGAGCAGCATCATGCCATGCATTTTGGTACACACTGATGGTCAGAGCACGTGTTATAAGTGGCATCCTGGCAACCTTTTCTGAAGGCCATGCTGATGAGGCTGTCTGCAGTCATACCTTCATTTTTCTGGATATATGAACATTAGGGTTTATGCATTTAATTTTTTTTTTTCTTTGCCTGATGATTGGGTAAGTAATATTTTAAGAGGCTTGTAGACTTCAAATTTACACCCTTCTCCACCCTCAAATTCAGCTCAACCATTTTAGTTTGTTTAGTGTATGTTTTCCATTGACCGAGCTACAAGACTTTGAGAAGCGGTTGCTGTTACTTGCATAGATGAATGGGAGAGATATGGAGAGACATTCCCCAGCACTGTACTTTGCCTCTCTAGGCAAAGTTTTTAACTCTAAAATTATTCTCTATTCTTAAATCTAAAAAAAAAAAAAAAAAAAAAATCTTCAAACAAACAACAAAAATCTAAAAGCATTGTCTGTTAAGGTCACTGTATTACCTGCCAGGAATATGCAGGCTGAATTACCCTGTAAAGATGAGATTTTTTGTGATTGTTTGTGTTTTTTGTCTCTTTCTTATGCCACTCATTCATTTGCTGATGAAAGCCCTTTTATGTCTCCTTAGATTCCCAGTGAAGCCCCATGGAAGGCTCCACATGCGGAAGAATGGGACAAAATGACTATGCAAGATTTCATAGATAAAATTTGCTGGACAAAGTAAGAAACTCTTTAATACAAAATATAATAGCTTATATTTATATACCTTAGGGCTCCAAATAGGCATTACTGCTTTGCAAACAGAAATAACTACCACTAGAATACAGCCTTTTTAAAGAAATGGGGTGAGAAAATCTTGTAATAATGGACCGTGACACCTGTCAGCACACACAGTAGAATCTGTTATATTTCCATAACTTCTTAGACTAAAATAAAGATAAAAAGAAAATGTGTTTGGGGAGGGTTAATTCTGAAGCCATAGGTAGTACCTTCATCTGTTATATGCACTTTCCCTCTCTTTACCGTGTCTTTAACTTTTATGAGAAAAATGCTCTGGCTACAGTAGGTTTTTGAATCAAACTTTTGATGGAACAACACACATTTACTCTGTGCTGGACCAGCTGATTTTACCAAAGTGCTATAAAAATAACATTTGTCTTGAAATAGCACTAAATCACTTTAACACCCATCATTCTATTGTTTAACTGCTGCACTATATACCACCCAAAGAAACTGAAAATGCTTCCTGTTTTTATGTATACCTCAAAGCAATTTTTCTTTACTTGCAATTCAACAACAGTTTGATTGGTTTTTTTCATACTGCAGCAAAAAACCCCATTAATTCTGCCTTGCTGTAAAGCAGGTTGATTTCTACAGCAGCCTCTTCAGAACTGACTAAGCACCCAATACATGGCAGCAGCGAGCCTGCAGAAGCTTGGTGCAGAAGCCTGGTGCAGAAACCTGCTAGCACCCACTCAAGCTGACACTGTCATCAACAGGGGCATTTTTATGGCTTCAGCCAGCCTCTAGACAGCAACGTGATCGTTGTTAATGGACAGTAGGCTCTTGTCCAAAACCTTTTAATCTTCTGGTTGTTTTGCTTTAACAAGAGTTACAGTTGTAAAAAAGCATATAGAAAGGCTTTCTCGTTTATATCACCATCCATATTCAGTAAAACCAAATAGAAATGTATGCTGGCAGTTCTGCTGGCCATCTGAACCTCTGATTTGGTAAGGATCTATACAAGTTAGCAAAACGCCATGCACCAGTAGTCATTCAATATCCAATAGCTCATGTGACTACAGTCATATTTTTTCAAACTCTGATGGAATAAGACTTGACATTTTACCTGAATATTGGCATAACTGTCAGCCTCCCTTAATTCCAAGATGCTTTTCAGATTTTATATGTGCATCTCAGCTTGATTTGCCCAGTTTGTTCAAGATTTAGGTAACATGCTGTAGAAACCTCCCAACCTGGAAGGTAATGATCCAGAAAGGTAATCTTTCACTATTTCCTCTCATCTAACAGACTGTACAGATTTGCTTTTGGCTAGAATTGCATGCTGGAAATACCCTGAGTGCTCTTGGTTGAAATCATACTGCCATTTCTACGTAAAACACCAGGAGAAACTGGGGAACTGAAATGCTGAAAAGCAGTGAGAGAAGGCAGCAGAAACTAGGAGAATTTATCCACCATCTAATGCCTTCTGCTTATGAAGTATTAGTAAATACATGTACTAATTCTCCCATTAGGCAAAATATCTTTGAGTTGATCATATTTTACAGTATGTGTTTATACAGTCAAAAAATGGTAAATATTTTCTGTATTATTTTGGCTGTCAAGAATGATGCCAGAACGCACCTGCATTTTAGAAAATGGATCAGCTTTTTACTTCAGCGGGAGTTTGCATTTTCAGAAAGGACAGAAGGTGTCTTTTTTCTGTGTAGATCTACAGCTGTTTGAAATAGTATGTTTGAGTTACGCTTTTCACTTTTTTCTTTTTTTTTTCCTTTAAAGTTCAAAGACTGAAAAAAGAAAGAAGCAACTAAAAGTGGATTCTGTACTGGCTTTGGAAGTTATTGATTGCCTAATGCTTGGCATATGAAATACCTATAGAATCTCAGTCCCTGTCAATCACAATGCAGTTAAGCTGAGCATCTCCTGGTCCTGTCCATGTCCCCATAAACTCCTCCTCAGAGTGAGGGCAGAGGAAGTGTTTACTTCTAACAGGAGGAATGTTTCCCTGAGCCTTAATTAGCTCTGTCTTAGTGCACCCCAAAATCTTGTACAGGTTTATACATTAATTTTCAGTAGAGCTGTTATGGAAGCACCAACTGGAGGACATAAAGCAGTGTTCCTTTTTCAGACACAGGCCACTTTTCCACTTCTGTGTTCATCATGACTGGCTACCAGACTACTGTTTAAAATACCGAGTTTAGCAGCCAAAAGTATCCTTTCCCTTTTCTTGCCAGACCTTTGCATGAATGCGTATGTGCTGTCTTTTCACTTATGGCTTCCTACTTACGTTTCTTTCTTTATTGTGTTCCAGCCACAGCACCCTCCCTGAGCACAGCAGAGGAGCTGGCAGTGAGGGGATGCTGACTAATCCAGAGATCTTAGATAATAGCTTAGACAAGATAACTCACTTTTTTTGTGACAGATGTAGAATAATCCCTATGCTGTATGCTTGAGGGGCAGGTATTCATCAGCTGCAAATAGAGCTGCAGATCTTGGATGTAACCAAGGAACCATGGGAGGACATGGTTGTTTTGGAGTCCAGTGAAGACAGGAGGGCTTGCTTCCCTTAATCCTGAGTCTAGGGAGACAAGCTAACTTTGTATTAGTAGCATAAAGTGACATAAGCTTTCATTGACTTTTGTGTCTCCTGGAGCCCTAATTTTGCTGGAATACAGCAGTGGTTAATTAACTTTTTTTTTAAAAAATGTTGCATAAAAAGGAATTGATATTGTTTCCTACTTCAGCTGAAATTCAGGAATCCTTTGCTCTCAGTGAAAGAAGAGGTTGCCAAAGATAGTCTTTCCCCTACTAAAGAACAAGTTTGCCACCCTTCTTCATTTGTTAAATTAACTCACTTTCTTGTCTTTGCAGTGCTGCCAAGAGTTTTGCAACTCTGTTTGTGAATGTGGATGTCACTTCTGAACCCCACGAGGTCTCTGCCCTTTGGTTTTTGTGGTACGTGAAGCAGTGTGGGGGGACAACAAGGATATTCTCAACAACCAACGGAGGGCAGGTACTGTTGGCCATTGCCTTCTGTGGCTTGTGACAGGCCCTGTTTTAACTTCATCCTTTTGCTTGTTTATTTTAGTTCAGAGGGCCAGCTGGGATGTCCGTAATTCTGAGTCAGTAGCACAGTGATAGCTAGTTCTATTCATTTACATGTTAATCTGGATCTTGCAAAACTAGTGTTGAAGGCTGTTCCTGTGCTGAAGGCATTGGCCCAGGGATCAGTAGATTTGTATCAGTTCCTGACTCTGGCTTTCTTTTGAGCTCTGGTTAGAACACATACTTTGCTTATCCATGTTGAAAAAAAAAGTTTTACTTACGCTTATTTCTGTCATGAGGCTGAAGCAAGCCTTACCACTTCAGAAGCACTTAAAGGAGGTGGCAGTGCTAGCTGCACGAGGGTGTAGAGCGCTCCAAATTAATACTGAAAATGTAGCCCATAGCTGGGTTCGTAAAGATGCAAGCTTCCACTGATTAAAACTGTTAAGATTTTTAAGATCAGTCTGAAGAAAATGAACACACCTGCTTAAATATGATATTGCTCTGAAATGTTTGAAATCTGGTATGTTAGTGCTGCTTCTACATTTCAAGGAAGTGAAGACTCTATTAATGGTCTTCTACATGAGAAATGCAAATTTTAGTAATTGTATTAGAAATAATTATATTTTTAGAAATGCAAATTATTTAATCATAAACTACAAAATACAAAGACTACATTAAAACATGTTAAAATGTATAAATATGCATAGATAAGCAAAAATTATAAATAATTTAACAGTAAATGTGTTGCCAAAACCAGGACATGCCTAAAATATTATTTGAATTCTGTGTTATGGTAGAGGTGATCTGAGTTTAGGTTAGGTTAGCTTACATACTGCAGGATACATTTTTGGTGTGAGCGACATCTTTTCTTATAGCTTGTTATTTATTATGAGGATGAGGGTTCCTACTTCTGACACACAAACCTCTGCAGGGATAAGAGTGAACTCAGAGGAAGGTTTAAAAGTGTAAGTGCTTTTCAGAAGTCTTGCTGATTGACACAGGTCTGTGGAATTCATTTGGAGACCACATGAGAAGGGATTTTCTCATGAGGTTACTGATACTTCTAGTTTTGGCTGGTGGTCAAATACAGGAAGTGTTTGAAGAGTTCACTGAAAGAGAAAGTAATGTGAATACATTTTCCAAGTGAGACTGCTGAACTTTCCTGAAAAGGTTTGATAACAACAGAAGAACGGGATTTGTTTTGAATGCCAAGCAAAACGTTTGTACTGATAGATGCTTCACATGCATCACACTGCTGATTCTGCTTTGCTGAGTTGTTGTTTTCTGTGTTTCAGGAGAGGAAGTTTGTTGGGGGCTCTGGCCAGATCAGCGAGAAAATAATGGAGCGCCTGGGAGGCCGGGTGAAGCTGAGGAAGCCGGTCATCCGCATCGACCAGTCGGGTGAAAGTGTCATAGTGGAAACCTTAGATCATGAATTATATGAGGTAATGAAACCTCTAACATTTAAGCAACTGTTTGTGCTGGGGTGGCTAGAGAACCTTTAGCTTTTCCTTTTTGACTTCTCCAAAATCGTGTACAAAAATGTAGCAGAGGTTAAAGTGACTATGACAAAGTCACGCTTTGTCATTGTCCCTGAGTAATAGCAATGATAGAGCTTTAAAGTGATGCTTGAAAAGCAAAGTGTATATTCGAACTCTTCCTTCACTAGCATCTCTTCTTAGTATTCAGTTACCTTCCAAATTAAAGGATAGTTGTAAGGTGAACACAAAAAAGTAGCTTAGTAATAAACTTTCTGTGAAAAACATTTCAGGCTTTGCTTCCAAGTTGTAACAGAGGAGTCCAGATGGAAGGGAGACTGATGGACTCTTGTAACACAGAAAATCTTTCCACTGGCCTTTTTTCAAGTGCTGGGGAAAGAGCAGCTGCCCATCATTGGAACAGATGGCTGTTTATATAATGCTTGTTTGTTGTTTAACAACCAGGATTTCATGAGGATTCAGTTTTGCAATTCTTATGCTAAATGCCAGAATTGCTTCAGAAGATACACCCTGCAGCCTCCCCAGATGTCTGCCAAGATCATTAGAGCAATATACTTAGAATGAAGGAGTGGAGAATGTATTTGGCTTATGTAGAATTTCTTTTCCAGGGCAAATATGTGATCAGTGCCATTCCCCCAGCTCTTGGTTTGAAGATTCATTTCAACCCACCTTTGCCACCAATGAGAAACCAGCTCATCAACCGAATCCCGATGGGCTCAGTCATCAAGTGCATTGTGTACTATAAGGAAATTTTCTGGAGAAAGAAGGGTATTATGTTTTAATTGAAGGGAATAGTAGTGACAAAGAGAGGGAAGAGGATACATGGTAATTGAGTATACTTTGTGTTTAGAGGATGCTGGACCTTAGAAGGAGACTTTGTACACCTCTATGCCACTTTTGCCTTTCCCTGTTTGAGAAACTTGAGAGATCGGTTGGGAAGAGAGGGTGGATGGGAGAATAAAAAGGAGGAGGTAGACATGAAGGGAGAACTCGTGTCTCTTGCTTATTGCCTTGGTTGTTCTTTGTTGACCTCTCCTTTTCCTTCAGTGGCACCTGGGTGTGAGATAAGTCTCTCCCACTTGTACGGTAATCTAAAGGTACAAGTGATATGTGATGGAGAGAGGTTTTATCCCATCAGTTATCAGCCTGCAAAAACTCTGCCTTCTGGATGCACTGGGCAGGATTAATTTAAGGTGTCTTTCACATAGACATCTCCAACTGGGCAAGCTATCCTGCACTCCCTTTATATGTGGAATACTTCCATCATGATTCCTCAGATCTCTTTTAGAACTTACTGAGCCTAAGACAATCTGCAATGTAGTACCACCCATTTCTCTTCACTGGTTATAAAGACTCCACATCTGTGTTTGTCTACAAATGTCACCCACCCTTCATCTCTGTGAATGATTTTAAGAGTTCTGGATCCTGGCATATTCTGGCTATTAGATTTGGGATGGATTGGCAAGAGGTGACTCCCATTTCCTAGTAGAACCCGTACTTTGCATACTGTGCTTCACTAAGACTGTTGTTCTTCTTTTAAGAACAATCTATTTTCTTCAAACTCTTAAGAACTATTGTATTTTCAAAACAATGTACAAATATCTCCTCCTGTGTCTGACAAATGTCATATATGGAAACAATTGTGCTGGAGGCACTTCAACATCCAGTATCTGAGAGCAATCTGTTTCTGTGCAATTAATAATTACCTTGCCAACCGGGTTGCAGAATAATTAATTTTTCTATCATGAATTCAACAATAGGAGATTTCTTTATTGACTTTCTGCTTTAAAGATGCTTGAAAAGGATTGTTAATTGTCAGCACATCTCAGATCTGAATTTTCTCTTCTAGAGATGATCTAGCAATTCTCTGAGCCAATGGAACACTACACTGCAAGGGAGCTGTGCGCTAATCTTTGTCAATTAATGGGGATCGCTTTACTCGGTTTTTTTGTTCTTCTTTCCTTTGTTTTCATATCTCCCTATGTTAGAATCATAGAATCAGAGAATGATAGAGAATGGGAGGGCCCTGTGGATGTCATCTAGTCCAATGCCTTGCTCAAAGCAGGGTGAATTTAGGTCAGGTTGTTTAGGGCTTTTTCCAGTCAAGTTCTGAGTATTTCACAACTTCTTGGAAGCTTGTTCCTACATTTAAATATACGGATTATGACTTCTTTTCCACTTTGTGCTTACCAGGGTACTGTGGTACCATGATCATTGAAGATGAGGATGCTGCAATTGGTTTGACACTTGACGATACTAAGCCTGATGGCAGCTTTCCTGCCATAATAGGGTAAGAGACAAAGAAGGTGTCTAGTTAATGCCTTAGAGGCAACAATTGAAACAGAAAACCTGCTGCTTTTGAAAGGAAGTACTTTAAAATAGTTAAAGGGTTGAGTTTCTCAGTGTGTGGTGAATATGTTCTATGAACTTTACTTCCAAAAAAATTTTCCCTACGATTTAATTGCTAATTTAAAAAAATGAAATTCTGGTTTTCTTCTCTTTTTCTCACTGTCATCTTTTGCCTTTTTGTGTGGCAAAATACAAAATTGGAGAAGAGGAAAGGAAGCAGAAGAAAAAAGGGAGTGATTGCAGAAATGTAAAGTTTTCTCCAAATACTTTGGCTCCCCCAAATCTTCCAGTTCTTTAAATGAAAATTTGTTTTCTAGAATTATATTTTGTTTTGTTTTTTTAAACAGCCAGAGAGTATGATCAGTCTTAGAAAGTTTTTTTAACAATAATTTCCAGTTCAATCCCAGGCTTCACCTCTCGTTGTTATATGTCTGCACGCACTGCTGTATAAAATTAAGGTCATTGGGAAACAGCTCATACAAATGTTCTAACCTGAATCTCAGAGTGGTTCCTTCCACAGCAAGTCATATAACATTATGCAGAGAGGTGAAATCGATATTTTGGATGGAGACCCAAAAGCTAATACTATGAATCACAAGCATCTCATAATAAGCTGTTGGCATTTTAAATAATGCAGGAAATGTAGTAACATAATGGAAGTAAATTGTTTGTGTTCTTCCTTTTTTTACAGCTTCATTCTTGCTCGGAAGTGTAGAAGACTGACAGGTCTCACAAAAGAAGAAAGGTAAGTACAAACGCTGGAGATCCTCATGGAATCCGAGTCAAACTTTTGTTATAAATGACCAGAGCAGGGAAAAAAATGCCCCATTTTGAAGCAAGTTGTCTGTACCTTTGCAACAGTAGGAGGACATGTCACTTTAAGGAAGAAGATCTCTTATTTGTTCTTGAATGAAGGCCCCACAGAATTCCCACAAACAGGCAGCAGATGTGGTAACTAGCCCCTGCCCTCTGGATGCTCTCAGGTCCTCGTTCTCATTTTCCAGCAGGGCTGCTCTGCTTATGTGACTTTGGCAAAAGAACTGCTCTAAGCTGCTGACTGTGAAAGTAGTGTAGATCATCTGCTGCCCTCACTAGAAAGCATCCAGGGCCAGCCTCATCCCTCCCCACTGCTACCCCTCTGGCTTATTGCAAGTGCACTGAGCTCTTTGAAAGCTTGTCAGAAGGGACAGGTTTGGCCCCTGTGCTTCATTTTTTTTCTAACAACCCTGGAGGGTCCTTTCAGTGTCTGAAACTTAGTGCAACCTTGGGGCTGCTGTAGCTGCCATGAACAAGACCTCTGCATCGTGAAGGGGTCAAAAAGCTGCCTCCAGCTCTCTACCCTCAGTTATGGGAAAAAATGCCCTTCAGGCATAGATGAAGGTCTTTTTTACTGTCTTGTTGAAACAAATCTCTGCATACGGTAGTGCTCTTTTGTTTATTACTAAAATAGAATTTACAAAGTAATGAGTTTTTTTCTATCACACTGATTCACAGTATCTGATCAAATTAAAGCTACAAGTAGAGAATGTGGATATGAAGAGAGCTTTATTTTTGACATGGAGAAAATACATATGTTTTTAAAGCATGCCACAAGGAATCTTGCATCCAAGTAAACATTTTTACAGTAATAGCTAGCCTAACTAGGGAAGATGTAGTCATACCAGATTAGCTTTGCAGGTAGTCTAGCAGTCTGTGGATAATGGGTCTAAATGGGGTTGTTAATGTCCCAGTCTTTTCAAATGACAGCCTGGTATCACAGAGCACTTTTAATTTTGGCAGGAATGGACAAGGCAGCCTTCTCCTCAGCACTCAGGCTTTGAGATAGACCCCCAGCAGGTGACTGACAATAAAACTAGTGTAGGTATTCTGAAATCCAGTGTGCCCAGCATTTTAAGCCATCGTAAACACCAAATGGTGTCTTATGCTGTGTGTCAATACACTATGTACAACTGAGCATTTGCAGTTTTTGAGAACAGCTTCTCTTTCTGTGAAATGAAGGGCTGTCCTGGCTATTTGCAAAGCACCATGAAGGAAAAGTTGCTTTCCCCCTGGGCGTTAAAAGCATTAGCACAATTATCTGACTCTGCTGCTGCCTATGGCCAAGTTTTAAACAGCAGGATTTTGAACTCTTGTCTTTTGAGGAATAAACCTTAGACTAGGAAGGACTTTGCTTTGGTAAAGAATGAGGTACCCTGGTGCAGGGGGCAGGGGCGCCTCTTGCTCCCAAAGTCCTGCTCACAGTCAGCCAAGGCAGGTACTCACGGGGCTGCATTGCAGCTCCTCCCCTGCACATGAGCACAAGTCTCCTTCCAGTGGAAACTGGGGTCCAGGAGAAGGCAGAGCGCAAACCTGGACCTTCTCCCAGTGTACACTCAGGGTGCAACCAGTTTATGTTGTTTAGATGGGGGGTATGGAGTTTGCAGGGAGGGATCTCTTCTGAGGACGGGCTTCTTGTGGCACCCTACAGAGGATGCATCTCGCTGAGATGCTACGCTCGCCTATCAACACAAGCTGGGCTCTCCCTTTATCTTGTTGATGACAGAGTAAGGTTTTCAGTAATCCTTGGATATGAAGAGTAGGATGTAGAGTCCATGGCAGCTATCCTAAATCATGGCAGGGAACAGCAGTTGTGGGAGGGGATGGAAACCGTTTTACAGCCTAAGCCAGACCGAAGGGAGTAAAACTCACTGCTGCCTTTCAGCTGGTCTTCCCAGGCCAGGTGCCAATGAGTAATTCCAGTGGTTAGATTGTGCCTTACCTTTCACAGCTGTGCAACGAAGGTGATGGCGTCACACACAGCTGTGGAATAAGAGACCAGGGAGAAGAGCTGAGTGTCTGCATGTGCACTTCTTCCACACTGGGTGCAGTGTAACTCTCAACAGGACCCTACCTAGGTAGCTCCAGGCATAACATTCCTCTTATTTAGTGCTGGTGGCAATTTCACAGCTGAGCCCCAAGCCAAGAAATAAGTATTTTACTCACTGCATATTCTATGTGTTCCATGCTAGCATTAGCCATAAATCCATAAATAAGTATTTATTTAAACTGTTCTAGGACAAAAAGTGCAGATGTTGCAGAAAGACCAGCGCATCTGCAAGGATTGCTCTTATTAGGTGGAATGTTCTCAGTGGTAGCTTACTGTTGGTATGATTTGATCCTTTAGAAACTGCATTTCTCTGGGTTTTTTTCTGTCAAGTAATACCTTATTATTGATGAATAATTCCTTCCAAGGTCGAAATTTCTTAAGAGTCTGAAGATTCCCTTGACCTGAAGCTTAATACTTTCTTTTGCACAGCTGTCTTAAACTAACTTCATCTGTATTTGCAGTGTAGTTAGCAAACAGCGGTGAACTTGCACCTTCCTGGAGCCCTGCAGTTGGCTGTACATGAGAATCCCTACCAGCCTCTGGTATGCCATTTCCAGGCTCCCTGAAGGGTCTGCAAGTCACCTGTGAAAAAGGGGCAGGGCACAGGCAGATCTAGAGGGGTCCTTCTTATCCCTCTCATGGTTCTGGGAGGAGCAGAGACAGATGGGTCCCAAGGTGATAACTCGCTTTTCTGTGGAGTCCTGTGGTGTTACTGACCTACACTGAAAGCAGGAGCTGGTCGGCATTTGTAAGAGGTGTTGGGCAGACCTCGGCAGAGGCTTTGCTGGATCATGCTGTTAAAATGGCTTTATTCTGTTCAGACACTGGGTAGGTGCTGGTGGTCTGCAGGGCACACTGGTCACCACACTTGGGGGGAAAGAGATGGAGGAAATGATGCCTTTTGTTATAGCTGTTGCTGGATTCATGTCACCCCCTGACTGCAGAGGGGTGTTTATATATAGATCCTGCAGCTCTCTGAGCCCTCCTGGCCAGTCGCTGCATCACCATGCATTTCTGCTTCGGAGCAGGCTGACCCTTGTCCTCCACCCCAGGGTACAAGGAAGGGGCTGCTTCCTTTCCCTCTTGCTGCTGCTGGGCTTGACACCTGCCAGCAGCAAAACCACCCCAGGGCCACAGCTCTTCCTGAACTGTAGGAGCCTTCACTTTCCTGCTCAAGCCCTAGTCTGCACAGGAGGACACCTTCTTCAAGGCCCTTCAGGTTCTCCTGGGTTTTTTTCTCTTTGTCCCCTTTCTATAGCATTCTTTGTGTTCAGCTGCTGATGGGTATAGCTGGGCTCCTGTATAGCTGGGTTGCTTCATACAGCAGTATAGATATGGCTTCCTCATGTGCTTATATAGCTGCAAGTGTAGCCCATACAGTTGCAGAGCTGGGACTGCTGTATTTCTGTGCCCAGCATGGCTTTCTGTGGAGCACAGGATTTGCTTCCAGAAGTAAACATCTTTCCAGTGTTGTGTTTGCATGTTTGTTTTTCAGAATTGTAAACTATTATTTCATCTTGATCTTCTTGTGTTTGGGAATTGGTGCAGTGCAGCTCACAGTAAACAGTAAGACCCAAAAGCTTGTAGGAACAAATTTAATTGCACTTGCGGTTTGCTACAGAATGAAGTATATTTATGGATTTATAGGCTCATAAACTGAAGCAAGAGGAAATTTTATAGATACAGAAATAAAGTACTGATTCCCTGAGAGCCTCAGGCTATCAATACCTGCATCTTTGTAGGAACAAACCATAAGTTAGACTATATGCCAAGACAAAAAAGTGCAATGCCCTACTACTTTCTTTTCCTGACAGCCTAGAGAACCTTTGGATAATATATGAATTTAGGCTGCTAGAGATATCTTAAGGGAACAGCTTGCGTATCTGCTGGTAAAACAAGCACTTACGCAGCACGGGAGTTTGAGTGATATATTTCTAGTGATCCAGAGGCTGAGCAATTAGGATAGATGCCAAAAAGCTGGAACCTCGAGTTCAAGCAGGTATCAATACTGGTTCTCTTGAAACTAGGACATATTAGAGGTGGTTTGTTTTCTCTTTCCTTACACAGAAATCTTCTGTTGCTTTTCTCTTGCAGGAAAACAAGGCTGTGTGAGCTCTATGCAAAGGTTCTAGGATCAGAGGAAGCTTTACATGTAAGCACAAAATCTAAACCACGTTGTCTCTTGTCAGACTTGTTGAGCTGGGGAAGGGCAGAATGAAACTGGAATGCAGCAGTGCTCCAGCACAGCGCTGCATAGCGTTTTGGAAAAGGTACCTGCTACAGGAGCGCTTGCTGCCCTCTGTAGAGGAGTGGAGAGAATGTTATGTCAAGTCTTGGGTTGTGTTTGATAGTGAGGATAAGAATGAGCTCATGAAACAGCTAAAAGGCAGACATGTTCTTGTCCAGCTTCGTGGGTGGCATTTGCAGTGCTTACCACTATACATCTCAACTGTTTTCCGATGCGACGGGCTTGCCTTTCCCTCTCAGTCTATGTTGAGCATAACATTTCTTCTCTCTTACTAGTTGCCAAGATCCATTGCTGCATGTGTTTTTCTTTTTGCCTTTCCCTTGCCTTCTCTTCCCTGTAATGGTAAATAACTGATAGGATTTGTGTGATCTCACACTTAGTTTATGTGATCAATACCCTTTATCATTGAAGTGCAATTATACATGAGTTAAAAGTTGTAGACACCAATCTCAAGATTGCATCATTTTAAACACAATGATACTGTATGCAGAACTGTGCAAGTGCCATACTTTGCGTTTTTAACAGTATGTATTTGTATCCAGTGTACATATTACAGATATTATACCTGTGTACACCACAGGTTAATTTTACTTTACATGGCTCAAAGCATAAATTTACATTGACAGATTAAGAGGATTATGTTCTACAGTGGCCAGATTAGCTAGTTTTTTTAAAAATAGCTAGCAGTGTCTAAAATTAAGGCTTATTGTGTCGGATCCATGCTGCATTAAGAGACTTGTTAAATGTGCTCGTCTTGTCAGATGTTGACATGCAACAAATCATAAGCTATTCTTCTCTGCTGTCTCCTCAGTTCTTTTATCAGCTTCCTTGGGACTTTGTCCTTTCCTTGAGTGAATTAATATCTGTTTTACAGCCAGTGCATTATGAAGAGAAGAACTGGTGTGAAGAGCAGTATTCTGGGGGCTGCTACACAGCCTACTTCCCACCAGGCATAATGACTCAGTATGGAAGGTACAGTATCTATTTATAGTGAGCTTCAGAGTAGTAAGATAAGAGCAAGTTAATAAATATCCTCAGAAAGGGTCATAAATCCTTTGTCACTGTTCACTTTATACCTTTAAGATCACTAGGCAATATTTTAAAGAGATATTATAAACTTCCACTTGTCTCAGTTGGGCTTTATGATGGATGAGTATAGTATCACTAGGGGGTTTTATTCACTTTTGTTATTCGATGAATACAGCTCACTAAGTTCTTAGAAGGGAGCTGGGAAGTGTTCACAGTCTGTTTACAAAACTGGTATTGGGTATTTGAGATCAGTGTTACCATTTCTGGCAGATCTTTAGCTGTTTTTTTATAAATACTGGCAGAGAGTTAATTCCTGCCAACACTGACAGTAATGAGTGATTTCTTTGGACTATTCCTTTCCTCTTAGCAGTCAAGGCTTAATATAGTAATCAGTGTGCCATTGTATACGGTCCTTTCCAACATAAATTTTTGCATGAAGATAAGATTTACCAAAAATAAAAAGGCTTGCTGGTCAGACCAGTGATTGCATTCAGATACGTAGTTTTTAATGTGGTAGCATAGCCCTACTTTTGAAGTATAAGTTTTCACAATTCAAAAAGAACCTGGAGCAATAAAGCAGTTGTAATGAAGAGCATATGGAGGCCTTAGTATTTAAAGTAATTTTAATGATAATTATTGCAAATCCTTTTTTAATTTGCTTGTTACTTTGGATATCATGGGGATATACTTCAGAATGCTACACTGTGCCAGTTATGCCTAGCATTGGTATTTATGACACTGGCTGAAATTGTGAGATAGAGTAAGTCTGATCTCAAACTAATCGTCCTTTACACCTATGAGCAGTGTAAATGTTTAGAAAAGATGAACATTGGTGTGTTTACTGAAGAAATGATATGTAATGCAGACTCCCCGTCCAGCTCAACTCATCCAAAGTTACTATCTTTAAGTGCTTGCTGTTATTTAAAACACTTTTAAATCCTTGGGTTAATATTAGAATAAGTTATCTTTCCTGATATGGCTGATGTGACTTGCTGCTTGTCCCCCTCCAGGATTATTCGGCAGCCTGTTGGCAGGATCTATTTTGCTGGCACAGAGACAGCCACAGAGTGGAGTGGATACATGGAGGGGGCTGTACAGGCTGGAGAAAGAGCAGCCAGAGAGGTACAGATGCAAGCACAAAAAAGGGGGCACTGTTAAATATCCTGTGGAAAATGAAAGATCTTCTGGTTGGAGGTGAAATGGGAACTGATTGTTGACAGCTTCAGGTGTTCTGAAATCTTGATGGAAATCCCTGCAAAGGGGATAGACTTCAAAAAGGATGAAGGTTTTGCACTTAGACCTTGAATGCTTAGGAAGGGCTCTGGCTATTTCGTCAGTCTTCTCTGTTTCCAGGAATGAAATAATTTCTTCTTTAACAGAAATCCCAAATTCTCACCTAGTCATTTTTTCCCCCAAATGGGCACTTTGTTACTGTACTGGGAGATCATGGCTGCTAGCCTCACTAGGAACATCTCAGTTCTGCAGCTCTGCACACCAAGCCAGTCCCTTGCTCAACTGTTTCCATCAATACCATTGTCACAGCAATACACCATTGAGACAGCCTTACATGAAGTCATTAAACAAGGACTTAAACATTTTGCTTCTGAGAAAATGCCAAATCCTCAAGTATTTTCAGGAATGTTACAGTTTATGGAGTAGCAAAAGAAATTTCATCTTTGTTTTATGAGGTGAAGGGAACCTTGTGGCTAAAAACTACAGTCACGGAACAGAAATTGGCCTGGAAGGGATCTGGAGAGTTTGTCTAGCCCATACCCCTGTCCCAGAAGACAGGGATGAACTGTCCCTAAATTGTCCCATTTGTGAAGGTTATACCTAACCTGTTCCTGAAAACCTCCGAAGGTAGTGCTTCATGATCTCTCTAATGTAAGGACATTAAGGCAGAACCTCCACAGACCTCAGCAGAGAAGTTGGCAAGAGATCTTGACTGTTAAAAATGTTGATGTTTTCCTTCCCTCATTTAATTGTGAAAGGAAAATACGTTTAAAATCTAGTGCAAGGGTGTTTCTCACTCTCCTGTATTGAAAAGTTGATGGGGTCCATGAATCTTGTCTAGAATAAAACCTCATCGTAAAAGACGGCAAATCTTAAATCTACAAGTGCCTGGAATAGGAAAACATTAATATCACCACTTCCATTTTATTTTACTATAGAAGTTAATCTTGCTGTCTTTCATGACTATCATTTCAGATAATCTTTGCGATCCTACTGATCTCTGGTATCTTTGATACTTTGAATGGTTACTTTTCCATTGTGAAAGTTTTCTTTTTAGTCTTGCTTTTCTCTGGCTGAATGTGGTGGTCTGTTGTCACTCAAAGGATTCTGTTCCTCTTCCTACATCATGGTAAAATTTGCAAAACAAGCTACTCCTGGCTATGTAGCTTGGCCAATGCAGTAGCTGGTTTATGCGTGCCTCATTTTGCCATGAGTGTATACTTAACTCATAGTTAGATTCATATTACCCTGTTCCCGTGGGACTAGTCAAGTCCTGATATCTCGCATGGTCTAACTAAGCGTAGAGAGTTTTTTCTGTTATTGTTTCTATTTTCCACTAGGAGGAGCATCTTATTAAAGATCAGCCCTCCCCAGAAATGAGTTGTACAAAGGTCGAGTTTTCTTTTAAAATTTGAATACACAGTGATGTATGTGCTCAATTGTTATCTTCATCATGCCATTTTAAAACAAAAATTGAAGCGAGCTCTTCTTCCCTTTCAAAGACTAGAGAATGTTATTTATTTTCAGATACTGTTTGCTATGAGGAAAATCCCAGACAGTGAAATTTGGAAGCCAGAACCTGAATCAATTGTAAGTCTTTCTGTACATTAAATGGATTATTTTTTTTCTGTGGTTTTGTTGATGAGATAAGATTTTGTTGGCTGTTTTTATTTAAGGTCACTAAATCAAAGCCACAATAAACCTTCCCTTACTCACCAAAACTGCCCTTCCCTAAACAGGAAAATGATAGAAACTCAGAGAGGGCACCCATCTGACAACTCTGTAACATGGGATCAGAAAGAACTGCACTTTTTAACCAAGCTATGAATCCTTTCCATGTGTCTCTTCTTCTTCCCTTTAACTGAGCAGAAAATTTTGATACACTGTACTTCTTGATAACATGAACTGCTTCAACCCAGTTCTTTTTCTGCCACAAGAATCTTTTGATTTACATCCTGCCCCTCACAGTGGCGATCTTGTTATGTTGATAACGGCTGCTCTCCCCGCAGGATGTTCCAGCTTTGCCCATCACTACAACCTTCTGGGAGAGGAACTTGCCATCTGTGCCTGGACTGCTAAAGCTGATTGGATTTTCCACTTTCTTCACCTCTGTGGCTGCAGCTGGGTTATTTGCCTACAAAAAGGGACTTCTAGTTCAAAACTGAAAAAGGTGCCAACGCAAAGCCTCACACTTGAGCGTTTTTCTTTTTTTCGGAGGTTTTTTTGGCATGTACTTCCCTGTCTCCAAAATCGGATCAGGACTGGGGAAGAGGAGAAAACAGTAGAGGGAAGAGGCTGGAGGGGAGGGGTAAAGGAAAGGGATCCATATTGAAAAAGAACCCCTTGAATCCAGGCCTACTTCTGGCAGTAACTTTTTGGTTGTTGAATTTCTAGGATACCCTGCCAAGCGTTATCACCTTGAGGTTTTTATCCAGATCTCAGAACAGAAGTGACAAAATACCTCTATAAAGCCTGTTCTGATGAGGTTTTCAGTTGGTTTTACACTTATATCTGAACCAGACCCTGAACACCAAGTCTTCACAGGCACTTCCATCTCTAGCTGTAAACAAAGGATTTCTGCCTTCCTGTGTGGTAGACTGAGAAAAGAAACGCATAGCTTAAAGAATAATTAACTAGTTTGTGCAAATTGCTGGTGAGGATCTTTTTAGTGTTTTTATTTTTCACCCAGATGTCCAGAGCTCAGGCAGCATCTAAGGCACAAGTCAGGCTACATTTATCCATCCAAACTATGCAAGCGTGGCCATAGGTTGTTGGCATTTCCAGTGGATATTTGTCCTACAGTGAGTTAAAGGACAATTTTTTTACTGCCTTGGGCAATGTGGTTGATTTTCAGGCTCCCCAGCTGTGTTCACACTGCCTGGAACGACCGACCTCGTGTGCCCCAGTCGAGTCTGTCCCTGTGCGGGGTCAGATCTCCTCTGCCTAGAAAACTGGCAGGCTCCAGACTATAGCTGATCTGTACAGCACTATGGCAGAGCAGGCTGTTGGGCCTGAGTGTGAATGGGGAACCTTGTGCTAATGTACAGACGCAACTTTTTGAACCTTTTTCACCCTGTCTGACATCTCTTTGCCTCCAGGGTCCTCTTTTAGCTCCCTAAGTTGCTGCAAGATAGCAAGAGAACAAATTAACCTCTGCCTACCCCAGGAAGTTGTAAAGCCATCCATAAAAAACTCTTACATATTTTTTCTTATCTCCTTCCTTTTTTTCCATCTACTTTAAATTTATACTTTGAATACCTTGAGGCTGTCTCTTGCCTGGTAGGGCACAATGGGCTTGAAAATGTAGCGATAGCATTAAAAAAACAAACAAAACAAAACAAAAAACCCAACTGCCCCCCCAACATTTGCTTCATGCTGAACACAGCGTAGCTGATTGAGCTTCAGTCTCTCCTAACAACCATATTGATGGGATTAGTACTTCCACTTCTGCCTGCTGTGCTGTGTTGTACTGACTGTGCTCTTTTGGTAACTAATCAAGGATCTAACTGATAGAGAGATCAAAGAGAACCATGGATAAGAGTCTTGTCACATGCAAGTGCTTCTGCCCTCCCTAGCTTGGTACCTCTCAAACAATGTAAAAAAAAGAAAAGAAAAAAAGAAGAGGGGGAAAGAAACAAAAAACCCCAACCACCAAAACCTTAGGTGCCTACCTGTCAACACAACGGTACCTTGTTCTAGGTATTTCTGCACAACACAAAACAGGAAGACACGGGTATAACTGAGAACAGGATTTGGTGCACATGAAGTTTGAGATGTCTGGAATTTTTCTGAGCCTGTTTGCTGCACTCCTCCCTTCAATCCGTGCCAATTTATATGTAAAAAAATTACATTGCAGTAAAAAGCCGTGGAGGGAAGTATAATAATATATTCTGCAACTAGTGTGAGCAGACGGTAGAGGAACTGTATCACCAGTCTCAGGCAGACTTTTTGGGCTAGCATCTGATCTTGCTTGTGCAGAGTAGTACTTCATTCTCCAAATAGTCCCATGGAAATCCACTGAACTACTTATAAAGCTGTAATATTTTGTGAGCAGTGCATCAGTTTCTGGCCCTTAGGTTACATTCTTTTTAACTTGATGTGCCAGTTAAAAGTCTTGTAGCAGCAGCTTGGATTTTATCACAAATGAATATCCTCATAACAGCCTTTTAACATGCATAGGGGAACTTTTCAGACATAAAGATCTTAAAGTCAGAAGAACAGTGCAGCAATGTACATATGGCCTCTCTCATTGTATCACACAGAGCACTAATTGGCTGGGACATTTGTCTACCACGGAGTGCTTCTACGTGGCTTTCTCTCCATGTGATTTATTTACTAAATGAATTAGGAACTGAAAGCTGAATCGGAACTGTGTAAGTTCAGAGCTTTTGCAACTCAGACAATTCTCAGGCCAGAAATACATATAGGAACCTAAATTTGGGAAGACATTTTTAAAGTCTTGGCCCAATATTTTTAAGTGCTAGACAGTGAATACATACTTAACATAGAAAGAAATGCTGCATTTGCAGATGATTTCTCTGCCAAAACTGCTTAGAATTCACGTCCTGCTTCTGCCCTAGAAATACTCTGCAGGTCTGTAAAAGGGGAGCAGATCCATGATACTAATGAGGATAAATTGGTTTTATTCATGTCCAAAATGTATCTCTCTCCTTTGCTCCTGAATCTGGCAGAGGTTTTTCCCAGTCTAACAAGAAAATCGTATGCCACAGGGGCAGAAAATCCAAGGAAAAACAGAATTGAGGTACAGTTAGAACTGAACTGAATCATAACCAAAGCTTTTCATGAGGTTGGTTAATTTAAAAAAAAAAAAAAAAAAAGTGTATATAGTTGTAAACCATTCTTATTCTTAGTTTCAAAGTGAAACAACAATGGGAAAAAAAAACCCCACAAATCATTTCTCATGTTATTCTGCCACAACTAAAAGTAGGTGTGACTTGAAATCTCAGATTAATTTTTGATCCCCTGAGATTTCTAGCCAAATCTGATGGAGCTGGGAGGTCTGAATTGCAACATCTGTATTAGCACTCAAAAGTCTTTGTCTTCTCCGGGCCAGACTGCCAAAGCATTAGGAATGCTCTCTTTGTCTTTACAGCGGTGTCTTGCTGTGGAGCTTATCGCCACTATGGGATTAAAAAGAAGGATTTGCTGCTGTTTTCTCAACATCTTCTACATAAAAGGAATATGTGGCACTTTGTGCATGTGTGTGCCAGTGTGATGAGAAAGTTGACTAATGTAGGTAGAGAATCAAGTTGCTTCCCCACAGGTAGAGGGGACTGTTAGCACTGGCCTACGTTTTTAAAATTCCTTTGTGCCAACCCTTTAAAGAGAGGAATGAAGTCTGGTTTAAGGGGTAACCAGTCATGCTATATTCTTAATTTATTAACACATTTGATGAGAAATCTGCTATCATGAAAGTTCCAGCAGTTTACCAGATTTGTAAAATGTATTATAGGAACAACCATGGAAATAATTGTATTTGTCTCTTATGAACCGATTTGTGTTATCACGCGTATTTTGTAAGGCTCTTAAGAGTTTGAAAAAAAAAAAAAAGGTTTACTTGCTTGTACACTGTTCTGATAGCAACTGTATATTGCAGAGGATGTCAGGTCATGGCATGAAAATCTGTGTTAACCAAAGTACTTGAAAGCTAATTGTATAAACTACTCAACAATAACAAGGAAGTGAGCAATGTGAGGGAGCCCCTTGTCTTTCCTTTAACTAGTGTATTTTTTTTTTTCTCATTGCAGATCTTGATTCCAAATAGCACATCTGCTGTCAGTACAACAAAGACATTAAAGACAATGAAGTATATGTCTGAGCAATGTCCATCACTGAAACTCAAGGCCTGGAGGAGAAGCTAGGGACTTCTATTAAAGTAATCTTCCTGTCCCCTCAGTGGGACTATTGTTTCACAGAAGTGCAGAAATTTTAAGATTTTTTTTTTTTTTGAGACATGAAGAATATTGTTGAGGAAGAAGGAATTGTATGTCCTCCAAAAGTACTCGGATGCAAAAGGGAGCCAGGATTAAATGACAACAGATCTGCCACTGCTCTCAGGCAAGAAGCAAACCCACTTAAATTGCAGATTACAAACGCTCACAAATAAACCTGACGTGCGTTTAAATGGACTAACATTCCCTCTCCCATCTCCACCACCTTAAGATCACCTTGATCTTACAATCTGTTCTTCAATAGAGATAAAAATGAGATGGCCAAAGCAGTCTTGCTTTCAAAGTATCTTTACAGTCAAATCGTTTAGGCGTTGTCATAGACTGCCGCTTATAGCGTGTCTCCTGTGGTCATGTACAGGTCAGTGTTCAGTGATGCCTGCCTCTGTGTTTTGGGAAAAAAGAGTGACTTCACTTTGCAGGAATATATATGCTGTGTGTGTGATGAATTTGTGCCTTTTATAACTGTAGCATTTTCTCAAGTGCCTCTGTGGTGACTGTCTCCCTTGGTTTCCTTCTTAAGTTCCCTTTTCAATAGGCTCTGCAGGTATTTTTATCTGACAGTTGTGAACTTTTTTTAACCTTAATTAGAATCAATAAATATTGTCATGTCACATTTACTGTTTAAGGCTTTTCTTTTGTGGAAGCCCCTTTTGACATGGTTGTGATGGTAGGTATTACTTAGTAACACAACATTTTGCATTTCATACTGAAGCCAATGAGGTATCTTCAGCTTTTCTCAGTAAAGAAAGCTCTGTAAAGAAGGAGAGAAGGATAAAAAAACTGAACAAACCCCAAATAAGCCAAAAAACCCTCCAGCCCCCCAGAAAAACAAACACCAAAACTGTCAAACTACATTTGGCAATAATTCTTCCGAACATATAGATGATCAACTGTCCTACACTTAAGAATTAGTTTTTATTGCTGTAGGTGGATTTGGAGTATCCCCATCATGAACATACCTCTCTCACAGCACCTTGTTTACCAGAACACGTATGGACAGGGGCACGTTTCATAGCTGCTTATAAGAGTCAAGGGCAGGTGGTATGTGGCTGTAACTGAACATGGGAAGAAACAGACCTGGTATCAAATACTGTGTTGTGTAAACATAAAAAACCTGGAAGAAAAGAGAGACAAAAATCACTGGCTTAATTTCATCCAGCAGCTCAGTGTCGGTGCTAGAGAGATAATGTAACTGAAAAACAAATTTGGCCTTGGGAAGGGACCTGTGTTCCACAAACTCGTAGTCTATGAATACTGGAAAAAGCATAACCTTCCATGTGAAAAATATGTCAAAAGCATGCAGCGCTCTTTGTATAGGCTTAACTTTCAGTATTACTTACAAGTTATAAAGGAACACAAATACCATGAAAGCAAATATCCTCATCTAATCCTTTGTATGCTCTATAAAGCATCTGTCCCCTAAGAAACGTACGGGAACCAGCAATGCATTTCACAGGCCCTCAAAGCCGCTCTCAAATGGTTATAAT